AAAAAAAAAATAATAATGGTACTACTGCATGGAGCTGCTGTGAACTTTGATTTGAGAACATGTATACCCATAGCACTCAACAAACATGAGCTGTTATTTTCTCTGTGCAATAGAAAAAAATGGACAGAAAGCCTGCACAAAGGAGGTGGCGTTAGAATTAGGCATTAAGGAGTAAGTTTCCCCAACTGGGAGGAAGCCATTCCGGGCAAAACACATTCACTACACCTGCATGCTTGGGGAAGGGGAGAATGATAGGAAAAGGTGGGGGTACTAGGGAAGGAATGTGAGGGATGCTGAATCATGGGGCAGGGAGACCTTGAGCAAAGGTGGGTGTCAAGGAGCAGTGGTTCCAGGTGAGACTGGCTGTCAGGTGCAGCAAAGTGGAGATGGGGAGGAGGCAAGTAAACAGTGTTTGCTCAGACAACCCACTAATTGGGAAAACATTTTCTTACACAAAAATAGTGATAAAGGACTTATCACAAAAATATACGGAGAACTGACGAAACTCAACAAAAATAAACAACCCCATCAAAAAATGGGCAGAAGAGCTAAAAAGACACTTCTCCAAAGAGGAAATGCAGATGGCCAACAGCATATGTTAAAAAAAGAAAAGGTCCCTACGTGATACTATTGTGCAGCTTTTAGGGAGAAAGAATGTCCTGAGGAACTCTACAGATACAAGTTTCGTGGACTCCACCCCCACACCAGACAACGGAAATATAAATCCCAACATCACTAAAGGGATGATTGCTAGGACCTGAGGGTGGAGTTAAGCAGCTGTGTTTAATACAACTACAAATCCCATCATCACCAAAGGAGGATTGATAGGGCAGAGGGCGGGGTTAAGCAGCCATTTTGTTTTGATTGTTATACAACTGGACATGAGGGCTTGGAGGGGGCCGTCTCTTGGTCTTGTGGCTTGCCACTGAGGTGGAATTTTTTTTACGTTTTATTTATTTATACATACAGAACTGGGGTGCAGGCCAGAGGTGCAGTGGTGTGAAAGGATTCACCAGAGACAGTGGGGCGTGGAACAGGTAGATCAATGAAGTACACTGCTGAGGGGAGCATCGGGCGGGTCAGGAAAGGTCTGCCATGCCAGGTGGTCACCTCCAGGGCTGGGGATTGAATTCGCACTGAAGTGGCTGCAGCTAGCTTGCAGTGCTGTGCTTTAACCCGTTGCGCCACCAGGGAGGGCATACTCAAGATTTTCTAAGGTAGACCAGTATATTCATGGAAATGTTAGAACAGATTCTTAGAAATCATCTCATTTACTGTTTTGCTTTACAGATGAGAAGCTGAGGTCCAGAGACAGGACCTGATCATCTGGTGACCATCCAGCAGCTCCAAGAGAGTTCACACTTGAACACAGGTCTTCTAGCTTTGTATTCCACCTCCCAGACCAAAGGTCTCCCAAACCAAGCGCTACAGAGGAATTTGCTGATGGGAAGGATAACTCTAGCAGAAGTGGAAAGAGTGGGAGAAATGCCAAGGTTCCAGGCCCCCAAACTTACTTTCTCTAGAGTAGATAAGTTTTCTGGATGAGGAAACAGACCTGGAAGATGGCTGGCAGGTGGCCTAACTGGTACCAAGTCAGGCCGATTAATGCTCTGAGGTTCAGAGAGGCAAACTCAATTCACCAGAAGCACAAAACTACTTGGTAGCTTTGGTACCAAGGACATTCGACTGCAAGACTCCTAGATTTCCTAAAATCTAAGATAAAACTGT